AGGGCCCTTGCCAGACCCGGGGTGATCTGCAGCCCGTGCACAGATGTGAATTAAGTCTGTTCATGCATCTGCATGCCCATGGTTCACACACGCCATCGGCATCCTGTGTGGCCGCAGACATTACCTACACTAGGACCATGCACACAACACACACGTGGACATACATACACATATGCACACACACAAGTGTGCACACACACAGATTCAATCAGAGAGTCCTATGTGGCTGCAGAGATTACCTATACTAAGTACACACGCATACACACACACTCCTGAACACACATCTTGGTGGGGCTTGGGTTCTGTTAAGCCTCAGGGTCAGGCTTTCACTAAGGACAAGTCTCCCTCTTTTATTTTTATTTTTATTTTTTTTGAATTGGAGTCTCACTCTGTTGCCCAGACTGGAGTGCAGCGGCCGCTCCCGGCCACCGCAGCCTCGACCTGCTGGGCTCCGGCAATCCTTCCGCTTCAGCCTTCCAAGTAGCCGGAATTACAGGCACGCGCTACCACGCCCGGCTGATTTTTTGATTTATTGTAGAGATGAGGTCTCGCCAAGTTGCCCAGGCTGGTCTTGAATCTGCAGATTCAGGAAATCCACTCGTCTCAGCCTCCCAAAGTGCTGGGATTACAGGCTGAGCCACCGAGCCCGGCTTATTTTTATTTTTTTGAGTTGGAGTCTCACTCTGTCGCCCAGACTGGAGTGCAGTGGCCGCTCCTAGCCACCGCAGCCTCGACCTGCTGTACTCCCGCGATCCTTCCGCCTCAGCCTTCCAAGTAGCTGGAACTACAGGCGTGCACTATCACACCCCGGCAAATTTTTTGATTTATTGTAGAGATGAGGTCTCGCCAAGTTGCCCAGGCTGGTCTTGAATCTGCAGATTCAGGAAATCCACTCGTCTCAGCCTCCCAAAGTGCTGGGATTACAGGCTGAGCCACCGAGCCCGGCTTATTTTTATTTTTTTGAGTTGGAGTCTCACTCTGTCGCCCAGACTGGAGTGCAGTGGCCGCTCCTAGCCACCGCAGCCTCGACCTGCTGTACTCCCGCGATCCTTCCGCCTCAGCCTTCCAAGTAGCTGGAACTACAGGCGTGCACTATCACACCCCGGCAAATTTTTTGATTTATTGTAGAGATGAGGTCTCGCCAAGTTGCCCAGGCTGGTCTTGAATCTGCAGATTCAGGAAATCCACTCGTCTCAGCCTCCCAAAGTGCTGGGATTACAGGCTGAGCCACCGAGCCCGGCTTATTTTTATTTTTTTGAGTTGGAGTCTCACTCTGTCGCCCAGACTGGAGTGCAGTGGCCGCTCCTAGCCACCGCAGCCTCGACCTGCTGTACTCCCGCGATCCTTCCGCCTCAGCCTTCCAAGTAGCTGGAACTACAGGCGTGCACTATCACACCCCGGCAAATTTTTTGATTTATTGTAGAGATGAGGTCTCGCCAAGTTGCCCAGGCTGGTCTTGAATCTGCAGATTCAGGAAATCCACTCGTCTCAGCCTCCCAAAGTGCTGGGATTACAGGCTGAGCCACCGAGCCCGGCTTATTTTTATTTTTTTGAGTTGGAGTCTCACTCTGTCGCCCAGACTGGAGTGCAGTGGCCGCTCCTAGCCACCGCAGCCTCGACCTGCTGTACTCCCGCGATCCTTCCGCCTCAGCCTTCCAAGTAGCTGGAACTACAGGCGTGCACTATCACACCCCGGCAAATTTTTTGATTTATTGTAGAGATGAGGTCTCGCCAAGTTGCCCAGGCTGGTCTTGAATCTGCAGATTCAGGAAATCCACTCGTCTCAGCCTCCCAAAGTGCTGGGATTACAGGCTGAGCCACCGAGCCCGGCTTATTTTTATTTTTTTGAGTCAAAGTCTCACTCTGTTGCCCAGGCTGAAGTGCCATGGCACGCTCACAGCCACTGCAGCCTCAACCTGCTGGGCTCAGGGGATCCTTCCACTTTAGCCTTCCAAGTAACTGGAACCACAGGCATGTGCCACCACACCCAACTGATTTTTTGATTTATTGTTGAAATGTGGTCTTGCCATGTTGCTCAGGCTGGTCTCAACCCCCGAGCTCAGCCAATCCTCTCATCACAGCCTCCCCAAGGGCTGGGATTACAGGTTTGAGCCACTGCGCCTAGCCACCCTCCCTCCTTTTATGCACTGAACAATTTGGCAGCCTGGAGAAGCCCTTTCCGAACTTCCACTAGACATGCCCAGTTCTGGCCACTCATTCTGTGGGCTCTTCTAGGAGTTTTGCCTCACATCACCAGACCCAACCGGTAGGTACAATGCCTGGCACACAGCGGGGGGTGCCATTCCTATCTGTCACTTGGAACAAAGGATTTCTGGAGGTGCAGTGCCTTATAAACCCAAAGGACCCCAAGTGCTGAAGGTGACATGTGGACAGCAGGCTTGTCAAGAAAGGGAGAGGTGGAGTGGATATTTGGAGGTGGGGAAGGCTTTGCCCAGTGACCTGGGGAAGAGGTGGAGAGACTCCGAATAATGAGATTTGAGGGGCTTCAAAGGCTTCCCAGGAGCCAGATGCTGACACCCTGAGGTCAGTGCTAGTGCTTCTTCATTCCTTTGGGCTGAGAAGATTCTACTTCTCAGTAGAGGGCAGTGTCCACCCTCTTCTTGCCAATGTGAACAGACTTAGCATGGCCCTCCCCTCCCACCGGCGCCAGCTGTTACTTGGCAGTATAAGCCTTGAAAAGTCCCTCAATAGTGCAGGTAGTTAATTTCTAAAGTGAACAGGGTGACGAGGTGGCCCAGTACGGACAAGGGGGTTGGCAGAGTGGGCCCCAGAGGGAGACCAGGCAGTGGTGGTGGCGAGGATAGATGGTCAAAGGCAGCCTCAGGTGGGGAGGACCAGCAGGGAAGTTGGCACAGTGGCCAGGAGGGTCCACTGGCTCCCTTTGACCCTATGCTTGCACTCTGTGGCCTCCCTTTCTTCCCCTCCATTCACAGTCGAGGAGGAAGCTATCCGGGGAAGCTTGATCAGTGATAAGTCTCTCTGTGGCTCCCCAGGTGGGCAGGGAGAGGCCTGAAGTTAGGGCAG